GCCAAAAAGCTCCAAAGGGGGGGAGCCAGTCAAAACCATCTCTGTCGGGGCTGGCGGGTGGCATGGTAGTTAAGGGTGCTAGACTCCCACGTGGTCAACCATGGTTTGATTCCTGGACCTGGCAGCTTGCTTTCTCCCTTTCTCTCTCTCTCTCTCTCCCTCTCTCTCTCTTTCTCTCTCACTTCCCTTCTCTGGTCAAATTAAAATAAATAAATAAATAAATAAATAAACAAACAAATAAAGTTAAATAAAATAATTCCTTTATTTAAAAAACCCTGTCTTTCTATCGCATTAAATAAAGAAGGAGTTGGCGCGGCCTCGCCTTTCTCACCCCTAGTCTCTCCACCGGCCCATCAGCCATGGCGCTGCATTTGGACACAAGCCGGCACCACAAGAAGGGCCATGAGCAGCCATGCCCAGCTTGGGACCACCTTCGCATCACTGCCCTGCGTCTCCACAGCTGCCGAGATCGGACAGCCAGGGTAACTGACTCGCCCCGTACCGCAGAGGGGGACCACGGCCTGGGAGTCGGTGGCCGCTAGGACGCGGCCTGGCCCGGCACTGAAGCGCAGACCGCGTTTGAAAGCGCAGGTGTGATCACGGACCGTAAAGCTTGTGTGTGTGTGTGTGTGTGTGTGTGTGTGTGTGTGCGCACCCCACCCACCCCCAGGGCCTAGCTTTGTAGGAGTAATGAGCGGTAAGCATGTTTACTCGGTCTTTCTTAAGTGTTTGTTCTCCTCCCTTTAATCAAGGGTCCCCATAGGCGGGGGCCCAGAGGAACTGTGCGCTTGGTGCCACAGGGGCGAAAGCAACTCACATAGACCTGGGATCCTTGTGGCAAAGCAGCAAGGGGGTTCGACACGCACAGACGTGGCCCACATGAAAGGAGCACTGGGTGTGGAGTGCCCATGCAGGCGGCTTCCCGGGGCTTCTCCGCTCAGAGCGTGCGTGTGTTTGGGGGAGCAGTTTCCCTTCTCATGGACAGCGCTGCATTGAATGACCAGCCCCAGAGTCTCCTTCCCAGTCACGCCCCTTCCCCAACACAGAAGCCCGTGCGCACGAGAAGCCCCCGCAGTGGGCATGTAATTATCATCAAATGCAAACCCACTTCTCAAGGAGCCTTCCCCGTGGCTAGAGAGCTGGGTGAATCGGCAGTCACAGTGGGTTTTGCATCTCTTAATTTACTAGCAGCACTTCTCTCCGGAGAGGCGATGTTTTGTTACGTGTAATTAGACCGTGCACGCAATCCTACGTGGGACTTGTTACTCTTGCCCAGGAGGATTACAGAGCTGTCGCCAGGTGGCCAGTGGTGACAGGCTGGATGAACAAAGGCATACCATGCGTCCATTTGCAGACCTCCACTGGTGCGACGCAGGCCCGGCTGGGGGATGTTCGGGCTGGAGGCACACGCGAGCTCACTCCTCTGACTAATCGTCTGGGGCCCTGAGGTTCAGGAGATAATGGCTGAAGCATATGGTTCCTGCCGCTTCCAAGGTTTCCTGCCTCCTGAGAGCGAGGCCTGGCAGGGCCAGCGGTCTCCCCACAGAGCGTCTGTCTCTGGTTGTCAGAGAGAGGAGGCGCCTGGCCTTGGGGAAGGCACGGGCCCTGAGCCCAAGCCTGGGGTTTCTCCTTGGGAGACGGGACCCCCGACCCTCAGCGTGGCCTGGGATGAAGCCTGGGACTCTCCAGGACACCACGGTGTCTTGTCCATCCCAAAGACTCTTCACTAACATGCGAGGAACCCCCGCTCGGGACTCAAACTGCCTTCAGAAGAGCTGTTTGCAATGGGAGTCGGCAGGGGGAAGTCCCGCCACTCCAGTGCTCCCGAGCACCGGGAATTCCACGAGCGAGGAGGCAGCAGGCGGCCGGGACACCCGGGGCTGTAAGCTGCGCCAGGACCAGGGAGCTGCCCAGCGGAGCCCTGCCTCGGATCAGAGGTCCCAGTTCCTGCTTCGTCACTCGCCGGCCGTGTGACCTTGGGCAGGTACTTGGCTCTCTGGGCCGCCATCCCTTCATCTGCCAGGGACGATGGTGCCCCTCTCACCTCCCCCAACCTTGGTGACGGTCAGATGACATGCCAGACTACAGCCCTCCTGCTCAGACCCTGCTCTGGGAGCCGGCTCGTGCCCTCCGGCAGCGCCACCTCCGCCCAGAGCCCTCTGTGAAGAAGCTGCAGCGCCATGAGCCCTATCACTCACCAGCCGCCATCTCAGGAGCTGGCAGTCGGAGGTGCTGAAGAGGGGCCACGGCTTGCTGTCCCTCAGGTTGGACACGCCATAATCGTTGTGACATGTGCTGGAATGTGTCCTCGCATGGGTCAGGAAAAAGCCCAATACTGATGCTTTCATCTAATTTCAATTACAGTCGTTAAAACCCTCACTCCTGGGTCAAACCTTTCCAAAAGCCATCAATGACAGCCCATTAGACAGGAGATATTTATAGCGGCGCGTGCTCATTCCCAGCACTGCAGACCGATGATTCACGGCTCGGCATTTGGGAGCGGCATACCGGCTGTGTGGCCCTACAGAGCGGCACTCTGTGTCGGAGCAGAGGAGCCAGCTTGCGGGACCTTGGTCACCCCCCCCCCCCCGGACCCCCCC